TGCAAATTCTAATCAGTCTCGAAGTTATATCAAATTCGTTGCATACTTTTGCATTTGAACCTTTTCCGCATCCTCTATGATCTTCCGTTTCCGTTGTAAATACTCCCCGCTTAGTACCTTTTCTCAATTTCCTTCTTTTGCATTTCATTGCCAAATTTATTGACAATACTACACCTTCCTAAACCTGATAGCTCAACCAAAATTTAATAACAAAAAAGTAGAAAACTGTCGTTCTAATGATAGCATTGGATCATTTCTCAAGCTGTCAAGACTATGAAAAACGAAAAATGAACAAGACCGTCTTGCACCAGTATAATATGTACAAATCAAGATTCAGCTATATGCAAATTTCATCAAATGTCAATATTTCATGAGACCCTCCATGAAATATTAATAGAGTTAAAAGCTAAAAGTCTGAAAATGTGTGGAAGTCTGAAAACGTAATCGAGTTAAAAGTCTGAAAATGATAACTATCATCTTCAGCACTCGATACAAATCACTTAACCACCTTATTACTGTGAAACACAGAAAAAAATACCGCACTGATATTATACCAAATATTTAATCCTCCTTCTCCTATTTCAAATCCGTTCAAACGTAAAGTTGTTTCAAATCTCTCCTTAAATTTATTTCTGAAGCAACCACATGCGACGTCACAGTGTGTGTTATGCATGAAATATACTTACATAAAAAATAAATAAATTTAATGAAAAATGCCTTCAAAAAATAATTTAAATAACAACATAAATTTATTTAGTTTTTCCAGCAGTTTTTTCTTTCGGGTCTTGCATTACCAATGTTTGATGACATTTGCCACAGTAATATCGATTTTGGTGACTAGCCATGAAAACGCCTCCACCACATGACGGTGAAGCACACTCCTTTCGCAAACGAGTAATTTTACCATTTTCATCGACCTGGAATTCGGTCAACTGAAGAATCAGAAAATAACAACGTACCACATATACCCGTGGGCAGTAAAATGAGTAAAATGATCAATCGAGTTTTAAAAGTACATGTAGACATAAACCCTTATCTTTCATGAATAGCCCGATTAAATTCAAAATCACTTACCTTATAGTATTTCAAGACGGCAAGTTTGATCTTCTTCCTCTTGTGCTTGTTTTTCTTCGGTGTAGTATAAACCTTCTTCTTCCTTTTCTTGCCACCACCACGCAATCTATTATTTTATATGATTTTAAGGAAGAAAATATTTCTCCTCCACTTCAAAATATATATTCGTGGTTCAGAGAGCTATATTTTCATTCAGTAAATCAGTGCACCAAAGCCAAAGTGAACATCACAACCACAAAGCAAATTGATTATATCCGACTTCATAGAAAACAGATTACCTCAGCACAAGATGAAGTGTCGACTCCTTCTGGATATTATAATCTGACAGTGTTCGACAACCCTCCAACTGCTTACCTGTTCGTTAGAAAAAATCACAATATGAGTACTGCTGGTCCGTCATCATGTATTATACCGAAGTATAATACACTCGGGAATCAGCGATTTTAAAGTTAAACAAAGTAATTGAAAATGTAAAAAACATCCGATGATACTGTGAAATTAGCACGCTTTTTCGAGGGTACTTCGACTCAGAGGTGAACGTTTTAAGTCATGGTACTCTCATAGGCCAGGACACCTTTGAACACCAATATATCATCATAACCGAAGCAGAGCCACGTTACGCTACGTTCACAACAAATTTTTATAGTTGCAAATAAAAACACAAGAATTACCTGCGAAAATAAGTCGTTGTTGGTCAGGCGGAATGCCTTCTTTGTCCTGAATTTTAGTCTTCACATTCTCAATGGTATCAGACGATTCCACTTCAAGGGTGATCGTCTTTCCAGTTAATGTCTTTACGAATATCTGCATCTTATCGTAGTTACCTAAAAGGTATCCATCTGTTGAGAAGTAAAAACGTGAAAATTCTTTTACTATAGCATCAAACAGCATTTAAAGTTCTCATAATCAGTTTTATCATACATACTAGTTAGCAGTTATGTTTATGAGATAAACTCTATGTTTACATCATACATACACTTTTAACTGATCCCAACTACTAATGACCCCGAAGCGTAAAGGAAACCAAACCTTCAACTGTACCCTAAAACTGGACAAAAATAACACAGCTTTTATCACATCACAGAATGAAATATTGTATCTCATTCAATATTATTAAACATCATTCCGATCCAACTCTATCATATCTCTTGCAATTGTTTAGCTTAACCTCACAGAGTGGAACATCGGTTAGGGAATTCAGATAGATCAAATTTTAGATCAAGTAGTTTAGAGAATCTACATATGAAATGCCACATATTGAATACTAATTGATAGAGTATTGATAATTGAGAATTCAGCAATGAAAGCGTTGTTGAGAAGAAATAAATGATTATTGAGATGGCAACACTTGTGAAAAAATCATTATATACAGTCGCTTGTAAGTTGATGAAATCCGGAAAAAGCATGCTAGCCCCGATGAAAGTATCGGTAAAGCATTAGCATCTTGCTGAAATTTAAATTGGATTAGGCATGTGTCTTTATCATTACTAGTACAGTAATAACTGTTGAACAATGAAAATTATATCGCATTATTTTATATTGTATTACCTATGAAATTAGCTATTTTCTTATTACTCGTTCAATAAAATGAAGATTCGAGAAGTCTCCGGAAAAATAATTAATTAATCTACCATAATTTTTAAGTATGATCGCTGCGATTGCAATGAAAAATAATGCGAAGGACTGAAAGAAATACCATCAATATTTACTGTTTGAAACATCAAATATATCACAATATATTTAACACATGAAGAAACATTTAGTTAGGCGATTTATCAGTTTATCAGTGAGGCACAAGTATGTGGGCAATTGGCAGCTTGTGTTGGGATAGTAAGATGCTTATAATTTCATTGGTGCTCTTGCCAGCTTATCTATTCAGCAAAATAAATTTATGGAAACACTGTTAAGTCGAAACTAAAATTTTCCGAAGGAATTTGTAAACAGTATTGTAGAGGAAAGAGATGGTCCCCTTACTCTCTTTGTGATATCTTTTACTGTTAGAGAAATGACGCCGGTAAACGTTTTGTGGAGGTCAAGGAAGACGGTATGTTACCGAGAATTAAGCTTGATTCCCAAACACATCCTAGTAATCTACTTTTCAAAAACTCGAAATCCACTTGATGGAATCTCTGAGACTATTGTAATTATGATAAAATATGCTTTGCGGTTATGCTGAGCTCTACAAACTCCAGCTATAAAAGCCTGGATGATGCATAATCCGATGAAGATGCAAAGCAACATTTCGACATAGAACAAAGCTTAATGTTTTGGCTATCGAAGGATCGATAATCTTAAATGAAAAGATGAAAACTTTAGTTAAAAAGATTTTGACTGATTAGTAATATGCACATGTTCTTCTTTTTTGATTTCTGTTCTAATGTCACCTCGAAATGAAATTGAAAATTTTAATATCTAATTTAATTACATAAATGAATCTATAACATATACTCATTTCTTCCTTTACATTTACTAAATTCAGAAATGCCAACGCCCTTGTTTTGGTTTGTATCCGAGCTTATTGGCTACTCCTTCATAAACAGGTGATTCGGCATATACACAAAGTTGAGGTGGATTGGTATGTCGCCGTTTTTGTACCTGTAACTCATAAAAAGAAAGATTTAAATAGCACATTCAGATTTAAATAGCACATTCTAATTAATATCAGCAAAATGAAACTACTGAGTGCGATTGAACATCATTCAACGTTCTTTCACAGTGTTTTAGTTGGCAATGGTGATTTCATGAAAATATTTTCCAAAATACTCGAATTTTTAGGAGATTCACCTACTTTAATTATTAAAGAGAGTGTACCTTAACATGGTGACCATCACACAGTGGACGATTTTTTGTTGCTTTACATACGCAAATGTTGTATTCTCCATCTTTTTCGACTTCAAAAAGTACGGGTCTCAGCGTTGTGATACCTTCTGCACGATGACTGCCATCGCACCATGGCTAAAATATCACAATTATCATGATTTTAATGAACTAGAAAAAAAAAAACAAACAGCAGTTTGGAATGCACTATTTAAATCAACAAAAGAAAAACCCATGAAGTAAAAAATAAACATATATAGAATGTGCAGCAATTGTTTAAAAAACTAAATGTTTTTACCTGTGTTCCGGACAGACCACATGCACACCACGAATACTGCTCGCCCTTTCTTAGCTTCAATTTAATTGGTTTGTTGTCCAAACACACACCTAATTCAGGGTACAAAGTAGCTGATGGATTCAACAATTTGATATTACTTATTGCACGGGTTGCCATTTTACAAACCTAAAACTTTAAGCTGAAATTCTTGAGTACAATATAACAAAAATAAACATAATTGGAATATGTAGTAAAGGAGAACATATATTCCTACTTTTTCTTTTAATAATAATACTTAAAAATTGTCAAGAGATATCATAATAGTTTAACTGATTTTGCATAATCCTTGAATCACACCGAACTTTCTAAGTTTCTTTGAATCATTCATTCAACAAAAATTGAGTCATTAAACAAACATTTGTAATCGACTTGCTATGCATTATAAGTGGATTAGTGATGACACCTAAATGATTATATTTCACTTTTTGTGAGTATAATTCAGATCGTTACGACATGGAATACTGAGGTTGACTTTCAGTAGTTAAAAAATAATTGTTTCTTATCAATAATAACATTTATTTTGATTAATAATCTGTTCAACAATTTGTTTATCACGACCACCAGGGCAAAGTAGCAAACATAACAAAGTCTTGTCAAAGAATATTGAAACTTCTTTAACTAATACTAGTAATAAATGGCTTACACTATGGATGTCTCGAATGTTAACCATCATATCCAATGTGTTTTTCAATATCATCCAGCTGAAAAGTTGTTAAAAGTACTTTAGAAATTTTAGAGAAATTGAGAAACATGAAAGTATTTCTGGCAGTTAAAAGGCCATAATCCATCGCTACTTTAATAACACTCTCTACGATAAGATGACCAAACTGGAAAAATGTAACAAGAAATGCCTAGTTCAGCATCATTCCCCATGATGGGCCTACCGATTTGGAAAAACGTAACAAGAAATGCCTAGTTCAATATCAATACAAGAAATGCCTAGTTCAATAGTTCAATATCAGTGGGAAGCCCAGACTCATCTTGGCAATTACTCCACCAGCCCTGACCCAATCACACCTCTGTAAAGACATATTGTGGAGCAATTGCAATGGGATACTCTAAATTTTGATTTGCTATTCAAATAAACTATAAATAATAAATAACAAAATTGATTGTAAATCCTCAAATAGTCGAAAATTTCACTTTTAAACGACAAGAAAGCTCTAAGGAAAGTTTCAAGCCAATTTAAAAACAACGTCGAAAGATTAACTCGAGTTTAACTGCTAAATTTACTGACAAAAAGAAAACGACGTATGTCAATTCTGCACGAACTGTAAAAACATGAAGACATACTTGAGGGCTGCAAAAGGAAGCGCGAAATTTTGCGGGTAATTCAATTTTGAAATTTTTGTCTGCAGCTTTCTAAGTCACATTCCCGCAAATGTTAAACGTATTTTCGAGCTTTGAAATATATTTCCGAATCCTGTAATACATTGCTAACTCTCGAACATATTGTGCTTTTATTTCGCGTATTTCCACAATAACAGAAAAGATAGAAGTGAATGATAGTTTCTGATAGCATGCTTTTCTTCCGATGTAGCAAAATTTCCCAGCAGAGTTATGGGAAGAAAGTAAGAATATAAAGATTTAAATATTAGTTAATCCATATTCTCTTCGAAATTTCATACGATCTGCGATTGTTTCTAGTTTCTGTTGTGAAAACCGTAATATACTTATGGGTAGTTCCAATAATTATAAGCATTAGTGGAAGTAGATTAATAAAGCTGATAAAATTTAAATTATAATTATTTCAAGGAGAATTTACAGCGATTAGCTTACACAACAATTTAACTGGTTTGAAGAGCTAAAAATTTGAAAATGATGCAATTGGTGATGCAAATGATGCAATTACTCTTTCATTGCAATCAAAGTATTTCCATCGAGTTACTCTTTCATTATAATCAAAGTATTTCCAAGTACAAATTTAACTTCAACTAATTCACCATGCTTGTGTTGTTATACATCCGAGTTAGAGTACTTATGTGAAGGATTCGGTAATAAGTAAAGTTTTTCTTTTTGAAATAATGATTTGTTATTATGCAGAAAGAATGGAATCGATGAATCACAATGAACGTAAGATTAAGCGTATCCCAACGGAAAGTTTCAAGAGAGTGGTGTCACATGTCTCTGAAGGTTTATCATTCATTTGCTTTTGTCTTCTTTTATCATACGTATATGCCTCACGATATTATACATCATATAATGTGGAAATGTTAACAGTAAGCTAGTGTAAGCGGAATAAAAAATTTCATGAAGCATTTAAGATCCTAAATAATCGGCTTAATTTAATTGGTTTGAAGGATTGGCATCTAATGAGAAGGTTAATTACTAGGAATTATTTGGTTGATCGAACTTTCAGGGGTTTATCTCCACATCCAATAGAAAGAGAATTGTAAAGAGTGACAGTGTTTCTAGCTCTGATATTAGTTTGAGTATGGTACAATTTGTAGAGAAAGAAAGTAATGAATGCTGTGAAGGCACTATTATTTAGAACTGTTTATCAACACTAATATCCAACAGTGTTTTTTCATGGACTTTATTGCAAAATAAGTTTACATCAATCCCCAATCTTTTTTTGTCACAATCTTCCGAATCTTACAGAAAATACCGTTTACGATTCACAATTGGATTCATTCTGTCAATTTTCTCAAAGTCAAACATTTCTGAAGGACATACGCAGCAAAGAGGTAAAAATTTTTTTATTACTTCGAACTTGATTTTTTCCTTAGTAAGAAATTGGCTTTTGGAAAATTTAAATTTTACGAGATGGTAAAAGTGAATTTTTTAATTTCATAAATGATTTTCTATCAAATGCTTACTGACCTTATAATTCAATACGAGAAATATGTTTACTTGTTATTATTTATCATTTCGATATCATTTCGCTTAATGTTTATGGACCATTGTCGGTTTTCATATGTATTATAGAAAAGCATTTTACTTTTCACTGAAATTAAAATTTTATCACAGGATGCACTCTTTTCTGTTCCATATAGTCCTTTGGACAAACAGATAATCCGGCAGAAAACACCTTCAGGTACAAATTTTACTACTTCCAGTTTCCAGTCTTCCAGTTCTTTAATTTTTAAATTGCTAATTATATACTAGTTAGTCGGCCCTATATATTCTCAGGTACAAGAACAGCTGATGGGATGCGCCTGCGTCTGAGTTGGATTACCTGAAAAATTCTAATTTGTGCTTTTGATTTTTTGTAGGAGGGTTGCTTTGGTTAATTTATATGTTTATCAAAAATATTACTCCAGTTTTCAGCTGATGATATCTATAATTACCGCTCCGGAGTTTCATTGCGCTTTTCACCCGGCACTAACGCTTCAAACATGACAATGAAAAGAAAACTGGAACTGCTGAAAAAAAGATACGAATTACAAAAAACAACAGTTAGAAGTAAATTAAAGTTTTTCCTGAAAGAAAATTCCGCGTCTTTGTTCAAAAAATGTTTGGTATTTTACCTCTGAAATTCAGTTATATACAAGTTTTCTAGAATCAAGTTTGTCTCATGATCACAACAATTTGTATAAAACGGAAGAAAAATTCCTAAGCTCAGTCCCTGAAGCACTAAATTCCAATGATCATGAAAGAAATGAAAATACTGACGCCTCATTTCGATTTCCGTTGAATGCCACTCTCAATTCCATTTCGAATTCTAGCAAGGCAACGAACGCCACTTATGTTATTCAGTCATTAGTAGGTGAAGGTATAATAATCTTAAGTTCAATTATTTAATTTTTTCACCTACCTTTATTAGTACTACAATTTTGTCCATGTGCTTTTGTTCGTTCGAGTTTCGCACTATATTTTGTTGAGTTAAATAATAAATAAAAATCTCCTTATCGTACGAATTTATACTCAAAAAAAGATTACAGCTATAATTGCATTTTAATGAAGATTAAATAAGCTTAGTTTATTACTTAATCAAAAATAGTATCTTTTTCGCCTTCGCCTCCTTTCACTTTTTTCTTCCCTCAGATCTTCTGGAATTTTTCAATTAATTGTTCTTTTTTAAACGAGTTCTTTTACAGACGAACGTGATTTTACTGATCAATGCAAGAAAACAGAAATGGATAAACAATCGGCTTATCTGGCAGCACTAACATCATGGCTAAATTATCTACTTGATGAAAAAAGTGACGCCGATAATAGCAGCGAAATTCTAGCCATGAGTAAAAAAGGTGGCAACGCTTATTTATTTTAATCCTTCTTTATTTTATCTTTTCCTTCATTTCAATTTTATAGTTTTATATACATTTCGTTTATTTTCAACATTTCGCTGTTGTCTATACAGTGTCTGAATCCTAGATGCTGATCTGTACTTGAGAAAACTATTGACTTCGACAAATGATATTCCGGCGATAAAAAATAATGAACTGCAAAAGCACATCAGTTATAAGTGTTTCACGGCTGCAAATGAACTCAGCAAAATGCGATCCAGGTGATGTTGAATTAATTAACAATCAACTGAGCAAATGTGAAATCGATTTCAAGCCATTTTCTTGATATCAAAAAGCTTTTCAGATTTCGCTTGTTATACGAAAGCTCACCCATCCCGAATGATATTGCTACTATCGTAAAAGGTGGCAAAATTGCAGTTAGAATGGATAGGCAGGTTTACGCTGATGTCGGCAAGTTCTTTTCTTGAACTGATTTGAATATAAAATTTAATACTAAAAATTGCTATAAACTGTCAAAATGTGATTGACATAGTTTCAGGACTGCAAACAGAATTGCTCAGCCTACTTCTGAGTTTTCATCCGTTCTACCTTCTATTGGGCTTAGAGACTGTCTTATCTATCAACATACGAAAAAGAATTGATGGCAAAAATCAACTCAGAATCATTGCTTCTGTAGTTATGCAAAACATCTTCAAGAATCCTAAAATTATGAATAATCGGAAATATGTGCAGGGAAGAGGAAAGTAAGTTTCTCGAGATCTGGACATGGGTGAGTTTCTATTAATGAACAATGAACAAAATCAGTTTCATTTTTTCAGAATTCTCATCAATAATCTAGGTGCGGAAGCTCTTCTGCAGCATTTTTTAACAAAGATATGCCAGTTTTTATTCATTGTTGATAAGGCATGGCGAGATAACACAATATCGAGGAAAAACCGCTGTCTTTTTGTTAAATGGTCAGCTTATAAGGTGAGAATTCCTCTGGAATTTTTAATATGTTTAGCTCATATGCAGATCCTGTATAAAATATTCCCGTGATTGATTAAATTATTTATATTTCAGAGTATCAATGATGTGGTGGCAATGTTAAGTCGAGAACTGATGACTGGTACCAGCAATTTACCGAAAACCCTTTCTCGTTTGGGCGTTTTTCTGGATCGCAGACAAGGATTTTTTGAACAGTTTCAATACCACGTAGCTGATCCGTTGAAGGACCTCAGTAATGGAATGATTCTTGGGTAATAATTCCTTAATACGTTTCTGCGTAGTTTTTAGTATAAAGCACTAAAGCCATTTAATTTAAAAAGTGAATTTCAGGCGAACAGTGGAAATTTTAGCTAATCTGCAATATAACACAGTGATACAATGTTTGCGTGATCCTAGTGGTGATAGACTTCGTAAAGTGAGCAATGTTAGAACAGTGATTGATTTTGCTAAGCAAAAAGGAATTATTCCTGAAGGTGAGATATAAATTTTAGATAGAGTGAACATTTTTTTATCTACTGAATTGAATAAAATTCAGTAAAATTTCTTGAAATAATCCATGAGTAATGATCAAATTATTGGAGACTTATATGTGGATATCGATGGTATCTTGCAAGGAAATATCGATGAAATTTTAGCACTTCTCTGGCTATTGGCTAGCAAAGAATTGGTACAATTTTAGCTTTATTAACTTCTCGTTGACTTGATTTACATATATTTTGTATGATTATGCTTCTAACCATCCATTTATTATTAATCTCATGTATCTTCGATTTTTTTTGTAGAGTATCAGTAAATCAGATAATTGTAATGCTGAAATTGATTCGATATCTCAACAACTTCTGAGCTTGTTCGGCATATCATATGAGGTTGGAATAAATTTGTGAATATTCGTCATGCAGTAAAATAAATGGTTCATAACTGTAGCATATTTTTTCACTCTTTAGATACGAAATCCTCTAGAACTTGCTGACGGAAAATTGTTTTCCTTGTTGTGGAAACAATATTATTCATACGGCGCACCATTTGAACTCTTCGATGGCACAACAGTTTTAGAGCAAATTGCAAGTGCTGTAAGTTTTATTAATCATAAAATTTAATAATAAAAATCAGCTAAGGACATAAATTGTTTGATTTATTGGTATTTGGTTTATCAGTATGAATATATATGATATTGTAGGCTGAGCATCATTTTGGGATCCCGTCATCGATGCTGATGCGATGGAAAAACATACCTGAAGAGAAAACACTCTGCCTCTTCACCAGAATTTTCATAGCACGCATATATGAATGTTATAAAATTACTTCTGCTGCAATCACAATACAACGTGCCTTCCGGAGATATCACAGTACCTCAAAAATGAATTATGATATTCCTCATAAAGTAACACTTTTTAGAAAAGATGTAAACTGCCACATATGTATTTCTGATATTTTGTGTCTTTTTTTAAGAAAAGCAACTTTTATATAGACAAGAATTTAGTAAGTTATAGAAATAAGAAATGAGCTGAACAATTATGCAGAATTCTAGTTTCAATTTTGTTAGGAATAAGGCTAAGAGAGTTTCATGTAAAATGAAAAACCGAGTAAGTTTCACCGTCGCTTAGATTCTTAGATGTCTTATGGATTATTTTCCAGTTAAATACATCAGATCAGTTAATCAAGTCATATCGGATAATAACGAAAGAAGATTCGAAACGAATGAAGGCTTCATTCACAATACAGGTAAATATGATACCAGAGCCTTTTTCGGAAAATGCAAAGGAAACTGTTATTAAAATCAATCTTTCAATAGTACTTGCTGTTAGTTGAAACACTTGCATCTCAAAAGAATACATTGTAAAAACAGTATAATTATAAAAACCATCATCACATTATAATCAGTTTTTAATTTTGTACAAATCTCCAAAAACTTGCTATATTCGATTTTTTTTCTGTTTTGTTTGATACTATTTCCAGCGATACTTTCGTGGATGGTTTGCAAGAATACTTTATCGTAAGATGAAGTGTGATAAGACTTCACAAGAACGAGAAGCAAAGGCAATTATCATACAAGTATGCTACATATATCAGTTATATCAGCTATATACAGATAATTTGTGTTTTTTAACGGCTTTATGGAAATCACATAATGTATGTTTTAGATAGACTAGTATAAGTATTCTTGACACATTGTCCAAGAATTTCTATAAGTGCTATCTGCGCCTGAAATATTTTCAATTTTATTATTGGAGGCTGTTGTGCTTTAATGTTTTCTTATTTCCAATTAACCTTTCAGAAATTTATTCGTGGATGGCTTGCACGAACATTTTATCGAAAGATGAAATGTGATAAAATTTTGCAAGAACGAGAAGCAAAAGCAGTTATTATACAAGTACGCTACATATATCAGTTACATCAGTTCCATGTAGATAGTTCACATTTTTTAAAAGTGTTTATGAAAATTAATAATGTACATATAAGATTCTCGACATCTTGTCCAAGGATTTCTACAAGTGCTATCTGCGCCTGAAATATTTTCAATTTTATTATTGGAGGCTGTTGTGCTTTAATGTTTTCTTATTTCCAATTAACCTTTCAGAAATTTATTCGTGGATGGCTTGCGCGAACACTTTACCAAAAGGTGAAATGTGATAAAATTTTGCAAGAGCGAGAAGCAAAAGCAGTTATTATACAAGTACGCTACACATATCAATTACAGCAGTTGTATATAGATAAATCATGTTTTTTTAGAAGTTTTTATGGAAATTATATAAGGTGTATTGGAGGTGTAAGTATTCTAAGTATTCTTGTAAGTAATTGTCAATATCTTATATAAGAGTTTTTGCAAGTGGTATTTACGCCTCAAAAATTAACATTATTGGAGACTGTTGTGTTTTAATTTAGAAATGTGCAAGTTTGTTGATTGACGCAAATATTCAATATAATTAAGAAAAGTCAGAGGTTAGAAGTTTGTATGAACTAATGAACAACAAGAAAGCTTAAGAAGTTTTGATTTATTAAATTAGCCACGATGGAAATTCCGAAGTTTCTAGAAATGCATACGTGGATGGCTAGCATGAATACATTACTGGAATTTGTTGTATGAAATATCTTCATATAAGCTCAACAATGCTGCAGTCGTACTGCAGGTGGTGTTGCACTTATATCTTTAGATTTGCTACATATATATGCTACATATCTTTCCTCCAAACTTATCTTCATCGTGAATCTTTTTCTTTAAATGGTTTTAGCGGTATGCACGTGGCTGGATAGTCCGTAAAAACTACCGCAAAATGCAACATGAAGTAGCCTTATATAAACAAGAACAAGCAGCAATCACTTTGCAGGTACATTAGATATTGTTTTTTTTTTGACAGTTTCGGTATAATGCCTTTGCAGCTTTATATATTGTACATTTTTTTAAATTTTCCGTTTTTCAAGTCCGATGAGTTGAAATCTGAGAAAAATCCCGTTTTTGCATTATTTCAACCTTCCAGCGATATTTGCGCGAATGGATAGTACGAAGAAAATATCAACTAATGCACCAGAAAAAAATGATCATTCATGAACAAGAAAATGCATTTATTGTACAAGTGGGCATTTCTTAGAATAATTTAATAGTTAGGTTGAGTTGCAAGCAGTCGTTTCTCATCAAGTCTAAAAAAATTTTTATAATGACCAATGTACGATCTTTTTGTAGTCATTGTAGTTTTCTCGCATGACTTTATGGATGTTCTAGTTCTTGTAGTTACGTGTGATGCCTAGTTTATACGAACAGTGTAATGAGAAGTATAAAAAGAAATAGGAAAAATCGGATTAGTTGAAATAGGATTATACATTTAATAAAAATATGAAAAAAATATTATTGGGGATTTGCAGAATTCCATTTCTGCCACAGAATGCTCGAATGATGAAGTTGAGAATAAAATACATGGATGCGAAGTTATAAATGATGCGGAATGCTTACGGATATTACGTGAACTAAGAAAACAACATAATCGTTTGCGAATTAGGCGTCAGAAGTTTTTGCAAGTTGTCGAGGTATTCTATAAACAGCTCTAAGTTAATGGTAAAAATGACATTTCCTTCTGAACTTAGCAACCATTCATGAAGTTGATATTACAGAATAAAATCAAATGTGCACTCTTGCTTAAAGCAGAGCGAGATCGACGCATAAAAGCTGCCACAATAATACAGGTATTTTTTTTTTTAAGAAAATGGTTTAGTAATTATTAACAGAATTAAGATTCATATGTACTAAATTTTTTAATTGCACAAAATTTTTTAGGCATGGTGGCGTGGATATCTTTTTCGCAAGCGTCATGTAACAATTCGCAATGAAATAGCTGCGAGTCGTGTTGCTCATAAAGAAGCAATGTCGAATGAAGAGCGGTTTGAGCTAATGCAACCGATTATGAATCGCGTGATGAATGCAATGAAGAATTTGAACTCAAAACACCTTTACATTCGTTATAAAGCTACTGAAGTGTTGCGTTAGTTTTTTCTTCACTTATTTACATTAGTTGTGTTTATAAAGTAAGGCTTTATTTTGCGAAATATTTATTAGCAATGATACGGAATAATTTACTTTTTATTGCTATGAGTTATTTTAGAAAAATTTGTTGGTTTATCAGAACTTTGCGCTCAGTATGTGTTCGATAACGGCGGTCTGGAATGTATTTTGGATTCATTAGAGGGTTGCAATCGTGGTGTTGGATCAACTGAAGTGGTCATACCTCTTTGCTCCATCTTGTGGAGTGTATTGAAGGTTTCTAATTCATTTAAACTTTTTTTAACATATTCAAATTCGTTTAAATTTCAAAAATAGATAATGTTTTGGTTTTTCTTATTCTACTAAGAAAACAAAAAATATAGTTTTAGTTTAAAATTATTCGGGGAAAACTCGACGAGCAACGCCAAAAAGATATTGTGAGACAATGTTATCATTTCATGTTAGCATTTCACAAAGTTCCGGATGTGGTGACCAATTTAAGTGCAGTTATAATAGCATTGAATGGGAACAATAAACAGGTGAGCAGCTATAAAATTTTCATTTTGTTGATGTGCGAAAGAAGTTTATATACTATAAACTTTTAAACTGAAGCTTGTAAACTTGCATACTCTCACCATTTTATCGCTCTTACGAGCTGTTAGTTCTGCTGTGGACAACGCAAGTTCATGGAATTTTTGTTTTCCTTTCGTTATCAACATACTAATCTCTAATTGTTTTCAGCATAAAAAAGCACACTATTTTGTTGCGCAGTTGGCAAAGAGATTTGCTAAATTATCAGAATGTGACGAGAGAGTTGTTGCACTCCGAAAGCTTCAGGATTGTTTGCTAAATTAAGGAAAACAGAACTATAATGTTTATTTCAATTATTGTTTTTTAGAATAAATTTGAACATTTCACCATAATGTGAGAAATGAATGGATTTTTATTGACTCTTGAAACTTTATTCAGCTGACGGTTTTATTCAATGCAAATCGAAATAAAACTCTTTTTACAGTCCTGTATTTCACATTATTTTTCTTCATCTTATTCATTCGCGTCATCTGTGTTTGCATAGTGTGTCTTCGTGTAACTTTGACATCTCTAATATCTGATTGCGATTTCGAAAAACCTTCAGTATTATTTCATTATTGATTTTGCTTGATACTTCAGATGTATAATACAATTTTACTTTACATTTGGCTTATTTATTTATTATGTTTTAAAG